GTTGTTCTTGTACCTTACGTCCTTTCTCTTTTTTTGTTTTTACTGACTCTTTTTGGCTCTTCCTTTTTCACTAGAATCTCATTTTGGAGATCGAGAGCGCCCTCCAAGAGGACAAGCGGAAGGTCCTTTTTAAGAAAATGGTTTTGAAGTTTTGTGAGTACCGTGAGATACGCACTCGATTCGGTGCGGACGATAATTTCCAATCTCTTAGAGATGATTGAGGCAGACGGATGATGAACTCGTGAGGGTCATCGAAAAATGTAGCGAGCTCGAGGGAGCTCTTAGAGACAAGGAGGACGAGCTTGAGGTGAGCAAGGGGGTCGAGGCTGAGTGTGCCGATCTTCAGGCTCAAGTGGCATCTCTACAGGCTGAGCTTGAGCAGAGCTCAACCAGGGCCGATGACTTGAGTGAGGAGTTGAATGGGAAGACGGCAGAGTTGGGGAAATCCAAGGAGGTCAGGATGGCAGCTTTGGCAAGGGTGGCGGCATCGAAGGAGGTCATCCGCGTCCTCAGATATGAACGGGCGAGTGAAGCGGCGGCCGTGCTTAGGGAGGCAAGGCTTGAGGAGCGGGTTGGCGAGCTTGAGGGAGAGGTTTCAAATTTAAATGATCAGCCGCTCTTGAGGCTGAAAAGGCGCAGCTATTGGCTCGACCATCTTCCTCTCACACTTCCGCTTATCCTGACGTTGCGCGGGATTCGTATGAGAAGTGGATCCATGCTGAGACCCAGCTAGACATATATAGGGACTTGATGGCGGTAGGGAGAGTTACTGAGGTTGAGTTCGAGGGTGCTCATGCCAATGTGCGTGCAGCTCGAGTCACCTATGGTTATGATCCCGCCACGGGCGGGCGATGATGAAGACGAGTTAGGCGGAATCGAGCAAGGTGCTCGGTATGATGATGTGTACTCGACCAGCAAGGATGATCGCGGGGATGATGCCGCTAGTGATGCTTTTTGTAATTTGTTTATACTTTTGTGGGCGTCTGTTCGGCCCTTATAAGATACCTTTTTGACTTGGAATGCTACTTTTGCTGTTTATTTCTGAGTCTTCTATTTTTTCTTTGGATGTTTTCCTCAATTGATTATCTTGGTATAAAAGAACTGCGTTGGTAGGCGTTAGCTTGAACATGGACGAGTGCGTCTTTGACTAGTTCGAGCAAAGTTAAACGTTGCCATAATTAATTCAGACGAGGTTAACTGTGAATGAAATTCGAGCTGGGTCAAATGTGAGTTGATTCGAGCGAGGTTGAATGTTACTCTTAATTAATTCGAACGAGGTCGAATGTGAGTTGATTCGAACGAGGTCGAATATTGCTCTAAATTAATTCAAATGAGGTTGAATGTGAGTTGATTCGAGCGAGGCCGAATGTTACTCTTTATTGGTGCAGTGTTAAACTTGGTGGAGACAAGCGAACATCATATGCTTGTATGTTTTGCTTACATATATATATATTGGAGAAGTTTACACGTTTTTCGGGATGGTATTCAAGTCTAGTCTATCTAGTCCCTTTTATTGGTCGACCTGGAGAAGTATTCGAGGGGTTGAGTAATGAATTAGCTAACTTGTATTCTGACCTGCTCGTGCTTAACTTCGAAATGTTCTCCTCGTCGCCTTATTAAAAACCTCTCAGAGAAAACCCAATTGGGACAAAATTCAGGTGTGGGAAAAAGAGCGGATTGGAGAACATCTTTCTTTAAAAGTTGAAGTACTTGAGGTGGGCGATGTTCTAGTTGTTTGGTAGTAGTTTTCCTTCCATCGTTTCCAGTTGGAATGACCCTTTGCTTGCTGCTACCGTAATTTTGTATGGGTCATCCCAATTAGTCCCTAGCTTTCCTTCCCGTGGATCCTTGCTTGCTTGTGTTTTGACTTTGAGTACGTAGCCCCCGACTTTGAGCGATCTGGTCTTGGATTTTTTGTTGTAGTATCGCTCTGCCTGTTGTTTTTGGGCGACCATCCTTTTGTAATCCATGTCTCTTCGTTCTTCGGCCTCACCGAGGTCTTGCCTCCTGCATTCGTCATTTCTCGGTCTGCTCTCGTGTGAGTACCTTAGACTTGGTTCTCCGACCTCGACCCGTATTACTGCATCAGTCCCATAGACTAGTGAGTACGGTGTTTCTCCTGTGCTTGTTTTTGGCATTGTGCGGTATGCCCATAGCACTTCCGCCAGCAACTCCGGCCACATTCCCTTGGCGTTCTCGAGCTTCTTTTTCATGATATTCAATATTGACTTATTGGAGGACTCCGCTTATCCATTGCCCGCAGGATGATATGGCGTGGAGAGTATTTTTTTGATATGACATTTCTTGAAGAACTCGGCGATGTTTTTTCAGTGAATTGAGGCTCGTTGTCACAACTGATTTCTTTGGGGAGGCCAAAACGGTATACGATATTCCTCCATATGAAGGCGATCACTTCTTGCTCGCGTATTTGGGCGAATGCACCTGCTTCCACCCACTTCAAAAAATAGTCAGTTAAAACTAAAAGAAATCGTACATTACCTCATCCTGCTGGGAGAGGTTTGATGATGTCCATCCCCCATTTGATGAAAGGCCAAGGCAAGGTGAGTGAGTGGAGGTGCTCGCTCGCTTGGTGGATCATGGGGGCGTATCTTTGGCATTGTTCGCATTTTTTTACGAAGTCGGCGGCCTCTTTTTTCTATGTGGGCCAGTAGTAGCCTGCTCGTATGAGGCATCTGACTAGGGCTCGATTGCCGGTATAGACTCCGCAGTGACCTTCGTGGACTTCCTCTAGAATGCGTCGTGTCTGGTTTGTGCCTAAGCATTTCGCTAGGGGGCCGCCATACGTTCTTTTGTACAAGTCGTTATTGATGACATTGTACCTGGCCGCCTGCATTCGAAGCTTTTTGGCTTCTTTTTTATCGTCTGGGAGCACGCCGTCCTGCAAATATGTAACAATAAGGTTGCGCCAGTCCCAAGTTAGGTTTATTGTTCGTACCTCAATTTGATCGATCGACGAGTGGAGGAGAGTGACCACGTTCCTTCCTCCGATTATGCTTTTAGTGGCCGCTGCTAGTTTGGCAAGGACATCTGCTTCGATATTCTGTGCTCGAGGGATTTGGTCGAGCTAGCACTCATCGAACTCGGGTAACAGCTTGCAGATCTTGGCCTGGTATTTTTGTAGTCTTTGTTCCTTGATTTGGAAAGTCCATGTGACTTGATTGACGATGAGCTGAGAGTCGTAGCGTAGGACTACTCGCTTTGCTCCGTACTTGAGTGCTAATTTTAGTCCTGCAATCACGGCCCCATACTCGGCCTCATTGTTAGTCATATCTGGGCATCTTATGGACTGGAAAATTACTTCGCCTGTTGAAACCTTGAGCACTAGTCCCCTTCCCGATCCCGACGCGTTAGAGGCGCCATCGGTATACAAAACCCATAGGTCGTGTATTTTGAGGGAAGTGCGGGCGGATTCCTTTTCGACTTCAGGTGTTATTTTTGTGCTGAAGTCGGTGACAAAGTCGGCGAGCACTTGCGACTTTATCGCTGTTTGCGGTTGATAGGTTATATCGTGCTCGCTCAATTCTATGGCCCATTTGGCCAATCTGCCCGACAACTCGGGTTTGTGTAGAATACTCCTTAGGGGAAAAGTCGTGACCACTGAGGTGGGGTGACATGGAAATAGGTCCTAGCTTTCGTGAAGCTACGACCAAAGCCAAGGCTAGCTTATCGAGGTGTAGGTACCTCGTTTTGGCGTCAACTAAAGTTTTGCTAATATAATAGATGGGAGATTGCGTACCTTTGTTTTCTCGGACCAGGACTGCGCTCACAGCCACGTAAGATACGGGCAGGTAGACGAGGAGACGTTCCCAAAGTTCCGCCTTAGCGAGAAGTGGGAGTGAAGATAGGTACGCCTTTAATTCTTTCAAGTCTTTGATGCACTTGGAGTTCCATTGGAGTCCATTGTCTTTCTTGAGTACGCTGAAAAATTTATGGCATCTGTCGGAGGACCGCGAGATGAACCTCGACATGGCGGCTATGCGGTCGGTCAGCTTCCGTACCTGTTTCTTATTGGTTAGGTTCTACGGTATTCCTTCTAGATCTTTGATTTGGTCGGGATTGACCTCGATGCCTCGTTGTGATACCAAGAAGCTGAGGAACTTTCCCGAGGTTACGCCGAAGGCGCACTTTTCGAGGTTTAATTTCATATCGTAATGTCTGAGTATGTTAAAGGCCTCTTTCAAGTGGTCGATGTGATCCTCTTTCCTTTTTGACTTGACCAACATGTCATCGATGTAGACTTTCATGGTTTTGCCGAGCTGGTCTTTGAACATTTTTGTCACCAACCTCTTATACGTCGCCCCTGCGTTTTTTAGTCCGAAAGGCATCACTCTATAGCAGTACGTCCCCTGGTGAGTGATGAAAGTTGTATTTTCTTGGTCTTCCTCCTCCATGAGGATCTAGTTGTAGCCGGAGTAGGCATCTAAGAAGCTTAATAGCTCGTGCCCGGCCGTTGCGTCAATGAGCTGGTCAATATGGGGTAGGGGGAATGAGTCTTTCGGGCAGGCTTTGTTCAGATGTGTGAAGTCTACGCACATCCACCATTTCCCATTCTTATTTTTCACCATGACCACGTTGGCGACCCATTGAGGGTACTTTGATTCTCTGATAGAACCATTTTCCAGTAGTTTTTCAACTTCCTCACAGACCGCATCATTTATGGCGGAGTTGAATTTCCGCCTAACTTGCCGCACTAGGGGATAAAACAGGTCGACGTTCAACTTGTGTGTCGCTATTTCTTACGGGATGCCCGGCATATCTGTATGGGAAAAGGCAAACAAGTATGCGTTGTTAGCTAAAAATTGATGGAATTTACCTGGTTCCTGAAGTTTCTAACCGATGTATGCTTTTTTGCTGTGGTCGTCTTTGTCTAGTTGTGCAGGGTCAAGATCCTCTACGGTCGACCCTGTGGCTTCTATGATTTCGGGGTCCCTGATGACATCTTTCTCTTCGTTATCACCTGACCCCGACCCTGTTAATTGCTATGCGGACTCGGCTTTGCCTTTCAATTGTTGGGTGTATGTGCAGTCTTGGGCGATGCGATAGCATTCTCGGGCAGTGTGTTGCTCTCCTCGGATGCTGAATACTCCCCAAGGAGTGGGAAATTTGATGACTTGATATAGGATGGAGGGGACGGCTTTCATGGTGTGTATCCAGGGGCGACCTATGATGGCGTTGTACGCCATATCCTGGTCCATGATGTGGAGCGTGGTCTCCAAGGTGACGCTGCCGTCCAGGACGGCTAGCGTGATTTCTTGAGATGTCCGCTTTATTGCATTTTTAAAACCCGTTAGTGTGATGCAGCGTGGCACTATCCAATCCTCGAGCTTCATTTGTGCGAGAACTCGAGGGTTGACAATGCACGCACCGCTCCCATCATCGACCATAATATGTTTTACGTCAGTATCTAAGATGTGTAAAGTAATAACAAGGGCGTCATAATGAGGAAGGACCAAATCGTGGGTATCCGACTTATCGAAGATGATACTATCTTCGAGTTCATCACACCATTCATGAGTGATTGACCGTTTCAACTTGTGGTGGTCATAAATTTTACGTTTTTGATTGACGCGTTGTCGCCTCCTCCGATGATCATTTGGATGGTTCGAGTTGGGGAGGGTGGTTTTGGTGGACCCTGATGCTGTTCGCATCCTAGAGCAAAGTTTGCCCTTCCTCGATCGCTTAGAAGTTCTTTCAAATGTCCTTGGTGAAGCATGTTCACGACCTCTTTCCTGAGAGCGATGCAGTCCTCGATTTTGTGGACCCATTCCTGATGAAATTCGCAGAGGGCGTTTGACTTTCTGATGTTTGGGTCGGACTTTATCTTCTGCAGCCATTTCACTTTTGGGCTGAGCTTCTCCAGGGCGTAGACTATTTCTGAGGGAGAAACGCAGAAATTATGAGCAGATAGTAGTGGAGGCATACCTCTTTCACTTTGGTGAGTCCCTGTTGGCGGCCTAGATGGGCCATCGCCATGACAGGGAGGTGGTATGACAGCGGCTCTGACATATGGTTGATGTCTTTCAAGGTTGGGTTCCAGGCCTGCATGGTCCCTTCTGTTGTCATTTCTTCGGTCTTTCCTGGATTCTATTTGGACTGAGGTCACCCGATGAGTTGGCCCGTTGAGGTCATCCTCGTCAGCTCGCACTTCGGCGCAGTAGGCATTGTGTATCTCGTCCCAAGTGGTTGGAGATACTTCATGAGTGGGCTTAGAAATTTTCTGGTCGCCCTCGAACCCTTCCTGTTTAAGCCGTTCTGGAAAGCTGCTACTGCCATTCCCTCTGATACATTTGGTAAGGTCATCCTCACACGGTTGAATCGGGCGAGGAAATCTCTTAGCCCTTCACTGGGTGACTGTTTAATGGCAAAAATGTCATTCACCCTCGCATCTGCGTTTTTAACCCCGGCATGGGCAGTTACAAACTTGTCGGCCATTTCCTCGAACGTCTCTATGGAACGTGCAGGTAGCTGTGAGTACCAAGTTAATGCTCCCCTGGTGAGGGTTTCGCTAAACTTCTTCAGTTATATGGAAGACACTTGTTCTTTGGCGAGGTCGTTGCCTTTTACTGCGGTGACAAAATGGGTCACATGATCCTCAGGGCCCGTCGTGCCATCGTATATTTTCAAGTACGGTGGCATTTTGAAGGTTTTATGTATGGCGTGTGGTGTAACTTCTTCATTGTACGGTTGCTCAACGAACCGGCCGGCGCCCCTTTTTGGTAAGAGTTTTGGGACGCCTGGTATTTTTTCTACCCTTTCTTGATGCTCTTTCATTTGATCACGGAGCATTTTGTTCTTGTTCTCCATCTCCTCCATCTTTCTCAAAATGGATGTGAAGGTGTCGTTACCTGCATCACTAACATTGTGAGTCACTGGTGTGACACAGAGTTTCGCAGTTTCTCTGTTCATCCTTTGGGCGGGCTTGTCGAGAATGCTGGTCAGCGTGTTTGTCAACCACGCCTCGAGTAGCTTTTTCACTGCTGGTGGTGCCTCTTCTGTTGTGGATGTAGAGGCCCCTTTACCGTGTGAGGTTGTGATGCTGCCGTGAGGGAGGGGTGAACCACTCCGCCCGGGGGAGGCGTTTGGTGTCACGTCGTCTGTGTCTGTTCCAGTGACTTCGTTGATGGTGTTTAGGAGGTTGGTAGTAAGACCGGCTACTGCTTTCATTCTTTCCTCTCCATTACCTGCCATGTTAAACTATGCACGCAAGAAAAGACAAGGTTTTTTGTTGCTTCTTTTAGATCTGAAAGAAACTAAGACTTTGACTAGGAATTCCCCACAGATGGCGCCAAATTATTTAACCAAAAGACGATAATCTTTGGTTAAACTAATTAATCAGTTATTAAGTGGAGTTAATCCTAGTTAAAGCTAATAACTTCAGATCTTGGGTTGACAGTACGAAAGGTGTGAGCAGTGAGGAAATAGAATTAATGCACAAGCAATAAATGTGTCAAATGTAACAATGTGCATAAAATATCAAGTATTAAATAACCATAAATGCAATAAATGTAAATAAGGAGAAAGATTCACCCAATATTGAATGAGGGGAATGATTCTTCCCTCTGACAATGAAGAATGACGAGAATGTAACAGCATATTGAGCACTTTCTCGGATCTGGTGGAAATGACAATAGATAATCCAAAAGGTCGAATCTCTCCAGAAAGTTGTTCTTTGTATTTATCTAGAGAGCTTACTTTTTAAAAGTGTTCTTATCATCTATGATATTACATGCCCTTTGCCTTATCTCTCATTCTATTTATTTGGGATATTCTCAAAGAACCCTAAAAGTACAAATAGAGAGAATATTTAAGAGAATATTCCCTCTGAAGATCCCAATACAAAAATAGTCGTTACTACTATTTGCTTTACTCGACCTCGGCCGTGGTTGACTTTTTGGAGACTCGTTCCGTTGATCACTGGTCGACTCCAGCCAAATTGCCCATGATAAGTTACAAATTACTCACGATAATCACCTCTTCGTGCTGAATTTCCTTGGTAGGATTTTGACCCATACAGTAACCATTCTTATTTTCAACAATACAGATCAGTTACTTGTAGATATTCTTTGGGCGACTTAATGGTGCACAAAATTTCTTAAACTGGCGATATATATAACTTAAACTCGAAGTTGAATATGTATCCAAATATATAGAGTAAGCAACATTAATCAAAGGGATGACTGTTTTGTTGTTTTATATACAGCCTCACGCATAGGGGAAGTTAATTAATTCTCGACGTCCAAATATTTGATGACAATGGCTTTAACGACCTTTAGTATAGTAAGTCCCAAAGTTGCAACAAGCCAAGAATAATTCCAAAATCGTATCATGTTTCGTGACGTATATTTTTGCTGATATTGTCGCGTTCCAGTTTGAATCCTAATTATGTGATCAAGCATTTTCAATTATATATACTTGTGTTGAATATATTCTTTAATTTAGTAACACACGGTCTTTGTGTAACAATTTTGAACGATAAATATTGGTTCATATGTATTTTTGTGTGTGAATGTCAAGGTCGTCATCGTTGAAGATTATCAAGAAAATAAAGTATATTATTTTCAACAATTAAATTAGATAAAATGATCACACAATCCTCATATTTTGCTCATAGAAAAGAAATTCAAGACTGTATGTGATAGACATGTTGAAAATATAACTAATAGTTTAAATTTTGAGACTAGATCATCACACAATGTAATCGACTTTGACTTTAAATTTCCTTTTCTTTTCCCTTCTTTTTGTTTAAGCTTTGAAAATGCTATTTTCACGGGAAATTCAAAAATAGCTAGATTTATAAGTGATCATTTAAAAATAGTCACACTTTCAAAAGTAATCGAAATATAGCCACTTTTCATGTAAAGATAAATTTTTGAACGAAAATACTGTTCAACATCCGAAAAAATACTCCAGTATAATATACTGGAGTTCCAGCATAATATACTGGAACTCCACTATATTATACTGAACTTTCCCCGTGTTGGAGTTCCAGCATAATATGCTCGAAGTTCATACACATGTGCACCGATCTCCAGTATATTATGCTGGAACTTTTCATGTTGCAGCAAAATAGTGGCTATTTTCAATGATTTTGCAAACGCTGATAATTTTTGAATGACCAGTCTTAAAACTGGCTAGCCCGTACTATTTTTACTATTTTCATAGTGCACATATACGCTATGCGCTTAAATGTTCTCCCTTTCTTTGTAATCCATTTAAAGTAGGAAAACTTACACAAATGTCCCAAATAAATGTCAACTTACCAACCTCTAGCCATTAGTCATAGACTTACCAAAACTAGCCAACAAAAATTGAAAAACCAAATAATAGGGTTCTTTCTCTCAAAGAATCACATGCAAAAATCACCTTCCATATTTTTAAGTGTGATTAGCAACATTAGATACAAGACGGAAAAGAAATTTCATGGAAGGGGTAGCAAATAAGGTGATGAAATACAAAAATCTATACAAATATTCCAAAAATCTAAACAAAAAAGGAACTTTTTCAATGGGTATAGTTGAAATTCATTGAAAATATATAGATAAGTCAATATACAAAATTTGAGGAAGATTGGAGGTGATTTGGAGTGGTATTGTATCAAAATTCATAATTAAATCGAGCTCAAAAAAGTCTTCTGCGACACATGTATCAAACATGTGTCACGCATATATCTCACACACAGGTATACATGGATATACATGTGATACACAATTGATATAAATATGATACATATGTGATACACAAATGATACACAGTGTGATACACATATCATTTTTTTTCATGTTCAGCTTTTACTTCGAATTTTCAATTCAAACCACCTCAAAACTTCACCAAATCATCCCAAAACTGAGATTCAAGCTCCTTAAGTTGTGCCCAATCTATTCTAGTAACACCCACTCAAAACAAAGCAAAAATTTGATATTTTTTTGCTACAAATAGCTAATTGGCTAATTTGGCTAATATTAGTAATATTTTATCAATTGGCCATTTTTTGTAATGAGCTACCTATAAATGGACATAGCTGGTAACTTCCCTTTAAAATATAGATCTGCCCAATTGGTCAAACATCACAATTAAGTTCAAGTGATTTATATATATGTTGTAACATAATTGAATTCTTAGGCCGGTTATATTGTGTTGACTCTTGACAGACCCTAAGACCTTAAGGTAATATAGGTGGATAAACCCTAACCTTCATAAACTCCCTTGGAAGCCCTTACGCACAGAGACGGATTCAGAGTTTTCAGAGTTTTAATTTGATGGATTCAATCTTTTTATATTTTTACCACTGAATCATTGCACAATAAAAATATAGGTTCAGAATGTAATATTTTTTGAGCTTTTGATGATCTTTCACATATACATCTGCGTTACTTAAGTTATGGGTTCATTTGAACCTGTAGCTCGTGAGCTATATCCGACTTTGCTTACGCAACACATATGAAATACTCAGATGATACTCATATATAAAGAGAAAAATGATAGTAGATGAGATATTAACTAAATGCATTTTTCATTCTCTTACCATTATTATAAAAAGAATAAAGATGAACAAAGGAATAATTAAAAGGATGTCGAGTTATCTATGCAGAGAAAAATTAAGTTGTGCTAAAAAAATACTAAGTGAAAGTAAAACACGCAAAAAAGAAACCACTAAAATAAGATTATTTTGACTCTTATCCTGAAAATTATCATAACCAAAAAAAAAAAAAAAATATATATATATATATATATATATATATATATATAATAGCACGTTATTATTTTCATGTCATGTGTAATAAATTAGAGATTAAATTCATTTTATTTCAACGAAACATTATAGGAGTAAGAACTTGTTGAATAAAACAATTCAATAACATGAAAATTTTAGAAAACAATCTTTCGATGATATTTTCAACACTTGATTTTTACTATGTTCTATATTCATTAAACTCTTAGATGAAATGATAAAATCACTCCTTTTCTGAATTCTGTGTCTATACTACTATGTTAAAAGCACAGGCGTGCAAAGTAGCCACAGTAACAATCTCAATTAATGATTCTACCAAATCTTGATCCAAACACTTAGTTGAAGCTATTGATAATCACTTATTACTGTCATAAAAAACCAGAGTGCATATCTAATGGAACAACAACAGCATAATGATTATATACAAGTCTTTTACTCCTCTCACAATTGATTCAACCTGCTTATATATTTACGTACCTCGGACTTAATACTGAACCTCTGATACTTCATAAGAAGGGTAGCAAGTCCTTAGACGCATCAACGAGGCCTGATGGAGGGAATAACACCACTCACAAGCTCAAGCTCAGTTCCTTGAAAATCCATGGTCATGGTGTTGGTGGTGGTGTGTCTAGAATAAGCCGAAGTTGGTGATGACGATGACATTCCAGATATGGAAACATCTAAATCGGGTGCAGTATTATTG